GAAGTACACAGTCTGATTAGCACATTAACTCAGGCATAAACCAGCCGTGACCATACTGCCTCCAGGTCTGGGTCAGACCAGCCTGGGAAAGAACAGTCATGATGAAAACTCCTTAAGATACATTAACCTCAATGTTATTTTATCTTCCATCAGTTTAGATCTTCTTTTTTCTATCAATTCTTATGCAATTGTTTTAATCATTAATTCTGGTCTGAACAATCACCCAATCTTTTAAAAATAAAAAAATAAAAAAATGGGTACACTGGTTCTGAGAATTAAATGATTTTACCTTCATTCTCAAAGGTTCCCACCACCAAAAAGTTTTGATATTTAGAGAGAAGTAAGAGATCTGTTTATAGTTACACACCAATAACTAAAGCCCACAACTTCCCATCCAATATCAACTCCTGTTTTGGAGACAGAGAGCAAGAAAACTACCCACATCCCGATGTCTTTTTATTGGGCTGGTTAGTGGCCAGCTGTTTGCTGTAAAACAAAATGATACATGCATATGACCATGAAAGTAGGAATATTTTCCCCCACAGTCTACACTCACACTGTCCAAGATGGAGCCACTCACTGCAGGGAGTTACTGAGCATTTGAAATGTATGTAGGCCCACCTACCAAGAAACTGAGTTTTTAGGTTTATTAATTTTTTTTTTAATTTAAACTTAAAGCTGAGGGGAGCCTGGGTGGCTCAGTTCGTTAAGCATCCAACTCTTGACTTTGGCTCAGGTCATGATCTCATGGTCCATGAGTTCCAGCCCCGCGTCAGCCTCACCTCTGGGCTGACAGCGTGGAGCCAGGTTGGGATTCTCTCTCTCTCTGTTCCTCCCCCACCCACACTAGGCTCTCTTTCTTTCTCTCTCTCTCTCTCTCTCTCTCTCTTTCTCTCTCTCTCTCTCTTTCAAAATAAATAAATAAACTGTACTAATTAGTTAATTAATTAATTAAGAGCTGACACTCCTTTGTGTTATCAGAAAATGTTTAAATAAGTTTGGAACAACGTGGGTATGTGGATTCATTCACTTTTTGATTTGTAGAATTTTACAAAATCTAAACACAGGTCAAGTATTTCTGAGGAAAATTTGGTGACTGAATCTTCATGTGCACAAGTGTAAAATGCATACTATATTTCAAAGAGTAGGCAACAGCATATAGAATAACTCATGAATATTTTTAAAAATACTGACTACATGTTGAATACTTCAATCTATTACAATACTTTGGATATTATTATTATTTAAATTAAAATAAATTATTAAATTTAATGCCACTACTTTTTACTTTTCTAGTGGGCTATAGAAAATTTTTAATTGCATATGACTCATACTACATTTCTATTGGGCAGCAATGATGATGAGTAACAGTAACCAGTGGCATAAGTATCAGAGATGAGCCAGTGAAGTGATTTAGAAAATCTGCGTAGCATGAGCAAAAAGCAAAAAAGGTCAGGCAGGACTGTATTCACATCCTAGCTCTGACACTGAACAAGTCGCCAGCTTCCTCGGCCTACATTTTCCTATGTGTAAAATGGGAAGAATAGTTTCCTCGCATAAACAAAAACATTTGTAAAGTGCCTGCTATATCATAGTAATAAAGAAACAGTTGAATAGTTGTTTTTCAGTAGAAAGCAGAGATCTCAACCTACTAAGAATTAACTACTTCTCAATATCTATGCCTTCTTGCAAATGGGCTATATTCTGTGGACCCTTCCTTCCCCTAATACTAGTGCAACTTTATTATTACCTTACTTCTAAAGATGAGTAACAGCAACCTTTATACTCAATGTTATTATCAAAATATTCAACAACTGGGGGTACTTTTTCCATTTGTGTCTTCTAGTGGAAGCAAATTCATTTCCAGGAATACCATCATGATTTTTATGAACCTAGGATTCACCTTAAAGACACTTAATAATATCAGAATACTTATTATGTTCTTTTCAGGCTTTCTAAAATTCATCACAGTGGGACCTTGTTCTTATGAGTGTTTAGTAGGCCCAAAGACACTCTATCTGTGACCTTAAGTTAATAATAATGAAGCATAGTTATTAAACATGTAAAATATGGGAGCCAGAAATATTTATTTAAAAATTAATTATATCTTATTGTTATACTCTATTTTCGTTGCAATTTGAAAAATGCCTACAAATTCTTATACTATGAAGTAATACCATAATAATCAAAAGATTAGGAAAGATAAGCTTAGGACAAATAAAATTAAATCCTCCTTCATAAAGCAAATAAATTATAGAGTTCCTTTTTCACTAAAAAGTAGAGTAATATAGACTGAAAGTATTCCAAAATGAGTTAGATAAATTAATGCCTAGAAAACTCAATAGGTGATTACTAAAAAGTGAGAAGTTTGGAAGTCATCTTTCACATTTCAGCAGGATGCCAAGAAGAAAAACCATCCTTCCCCATGGTGACTTTTCATACAATGTTGACTCCTGACAGGATGGCTTAAGGGTCAGCTCACTATGATACAATCATTCTTATGTTTCCATAAAACCTTATTTACAGGGCACCTGAGTAGCTCAGTCGGTTAAGCGTCCTACTTTGGCTCAGGTCATGACCTCTTGGTTCTAGGGTTCAAGGGTTCAAGCCCAGCATTGGGTTCTGTGCTGACAGCTCAGAGCCTGGAGCCTGCTTCAGATTCTGTGTCTCCCTCTCTCTCTGCCCCTCCCCTGCTCACGCTCTGTCTCTCTCTCAAAAATAAGTAAACATTTAAAAAAATATTTTTAAAAATTAAAAAAAAGCTAATTTACAATGACCTCTCTCTTCTTTAATCTGTTTCTTGTATTTTTCACTCATAGTTTTCCATTTAGTCCTTTTATCATTTTTTCTTTATTCATCTGATGAATATTTATTGAGCCTTTCCTGTGTGCCAGCTGGTCTGCAGGCCTCACCATTGTACCTCACTAGCCTGTCATATTATTCAAACAAAAGCACTAATGTAAGATGGAAGTAGAGAGAGGCAAAACACACATAGCGTTGTTTTTGGGTTTTTTTTATTAGTTGGGTTATATGTGTGTGTATGTGTATATTCTTCATCATATCTGACTTGTCAACAAAAATAAATTTGAGGTTATCACACCGCATCCAAGTTCATAAAAATTAACTCGGTTTCCAACATAATTTGTAAGTAAGTTATTATTTTAGCTTATACAAATGTCATAGAGTGAGATCCAATACTCAGTTGTGGCTTCCAACTTGTCTATTCTTAGATTTTATTTTAATACAAATATCTCCTGGTGAAAATGTACCACTTTTGATAGCAAAATTTACCATCATAACTCTTTAGAGTTTTCTCCAAGTTATTCATATAGTTACATAATAGGCCAGCTATCTCCTACTGAAAAATCTCGTGTTCACTAATTCACACCTAAGGGGGACTTTCTAGGGGAAAAAAAAAAATTAAAAAGATAAGTCAGCAGACCTTTATATGTCTATTAGAAAAAATTTTTCTTAAGTTGTTTCTTCAATTATAAGTATTTACGTGTTTGATTTTCCATTAGACTATAAGCAACTTGAGGCCAGGGGCAAGCTCTTACTCTGTATGTACCCATTTGAAAAGTGCAGGTTTCACAACAGTTTGCTGGTTAAATGGAAGGTTGGTTGGATGAAAAATGAAAGAAAATTTCAGATTTAAGAGTTAGTAATGAGTTTAATCTTTGAGACTATTATTCTTAACCCATTAGTTAAAATCAGAGATGAGCAATGATTATGACATGTCGGTTAGGTTCATCAATTATAACATGTTATCGCCCTGGTTGGGGATGCTGATAATGGGGGAGGCTATGCATGTGTGGGGGTAAGGGAGCATATGGGAAATCTCTGTACCTTACTCTCAGTTTTACTGTGAACCTTAAACAGCTCTAAAAAAAAAACCAAAACAAACAAACAAAAAAAAAACTCTTAAAAAAATAGGTGTTAAACTTAAAAATATACATTGTGTGATCAATAGATAATGAAAAATAGTATTCTGTTATATAAAAACACCCGCTAACTAATTCAGCCGCAATTTATTGCAGTCTTAGCACGTACCAAGCACACTACTCTCAGAGCTGTGGCTTAAAGATAAATAAGATCTGTAAATGTAAAGCAGGAGTTGGAAAGCTGCTTCCACCAAATTCATGTGAGCTGATAGCAATTTTAAATCATCATTAAACTATGGAAAAGAAAACCATGGATCTATTACTCACAATGGGTTCTCTTGCCCAATGAAAAGGAAAGACAAAATCTACCTTTTCAGACATCCCAAAATTTTTCAATACATTTTATACTTTTTGCTTGTTGCTTAGAAAATGCTATCTCCTAATACAAAGTAAGAAGTCCTCAGTGCCTCTGTCTTTTGTTAAGGAGTCAAGGAAAAAGGGAGTGGAAATAATGAGACCAGAAATGTCATGGAATAGAGAAAAGAATATCAACATGAGATAAATCAGAGTGAAGTTCTGCACAAAATCATTCTCATATTAGACCAGAACCCTGCAACCATAATCAACCAGAAACCTAGGGTAAGATGTTGAGAAATGCCCAGAAATGAATAACTGCATTGGACACAGACTTTGTGAGAACTGGCAGTAAAAGGAAACAGTGCAGAAATCCTCCGGATAAGCTTATGGGCAGGCTGAAGGCTTGACTGGTAAAAACTACAAGCCCGTCATTGGCTGGTCCTGATGGTGAAGCAGATCCTTCAAGGCACTTGGCAGCTGGCAAGATGTAGCAACTTCTCTCAGGTACTACTAGCCTGGTATTGCAGGTTCATTCCTTTGACTTCAGCAGATAGTTATCTTTTGGTTCTTTAAAGAGTTGATCATTTTAACATAGACGAGTGTAAATAATACATCAGGAAAACCTGACTGCTTTAGAGAATGACAAACCTTTCTGAAGTGAACAACCAATGTTTCTTTAATAGATGGAAAAATTGACCAAGGCTTGTAGCAATGTCTTCCCGCCTTAAACACATTCTACCAGGTCACCCAAGTCCCACTTACCCCTAACATCTGGTGGAGGTAGTGATACTCTGGCCCTTGGTTATACAGCAGGAAGGTTTTCCAGAAAAGCAAAACATTCAGGGAGAGCCAGACAAACTAGATCACACAAAGAAAGAGAGAAAACAAAAATTAAAAATAAACGTTACCTGATAAGTGGAAACCTCACGTGCATTCGTTGAACACAATACTTTGAGTGGAAGCTGGATTAGTAATTGCAGAAAGCATTCTTAATTAACCAGCAAGCTGAAGACTACTCAGAGGAAAACAAATCTGACCTCACTCAGTCCCTGCACCTGAGATTAAGCATTCTGGGTTGCAAGCAGGTCTCCTAAACCATCTGCAAATATCCCCTGCAGCACAAAACGAGGCTAAGAAATTAGTGACATCACCCAGTCCCGAGCATGGCATGTTGTTAAAATGCAACACCAAACAGAAACAATCCGGGAAAAGAGCAAAGGGGGAAAGAAGTTTAAAGGGTTAAGAAAAACTTGTGTTCACTAAAAGTGATCTCTCTTCCTCCACATCTGCTCTCCCAACAGTGTGCAGGAAAGTTCCCATGCACTTGGAGTAGGGGTGAGGGGAGGGTGTCGTTATTATCTCCAGGTATTAACAGCGGAAAGTTTTGTGAGTTCAGAATGTCGGAATTAGAGGCAAAACTTCCAACTTCCCACCCGCGCACGCTCAGAGAATGAATCAAAGTTGCTGCACGACAGACAAAACGCAGGGAGAGAGCCTTGCCCGCCATCCTACCAGGCAGAGGTGTTTAACCCCTTCGTTGGCCAGCCAGCTCCTCCAGGACACAGCCATGCCGCCGGCCCCGCCGCGCTGCGCTCTCCGGCCGCCGGCCCGCGAAGGAGCGGCGGCGGCCGGGACAGCGGTTACAGTTGTGCGGCCTGCGGGGGGGGGGAGCCGGGTGGGGACGGAGGGTCAAAGACTGAGTGGAAGCGGAGGCCGGCGCCGAGCCAGCCCGGGCGGGGTCTGCGCCCCGGAGCCGGGTCTTCCGGGCGCCGCGGCTGCGGCCCGCGCGGGGTCTGCGCTGCGCGCTCGGCTGCCCCGGCCCCGCGCTCGGAGCGCGCGCTCCCCGGCCCCAACGCCCGGCTGCGCGAGTCTGCACCGCCGAGCCGGTCCCTTTGTCTGCGGGCTAGCCTGTTGTTGTGGCTGCCGCCGTTCAGGATGTCCCGGCTGGGGACTGGGAGGCGCCCCCCGCAGGCTCGCGGAGACCGACCACGATGTGGGGAGTGATACCCGTACCCTGGGCACCCCTCCGCCCCCTCGTACGCTCGCACGCACCTAGCTCTTAGGCACGGGTCGTTTTCCCCAAAAAAGTTCCACTCAAAGACGCTCGGGAACGAAATTTGAGCCGGAAATAGCCTTTTGTGTACTAACATCCCCCTTCTCCCGCCCAACCTCAGGAACGCATCCCAACCCCAACGAAGTCCCCTTCACAACCTTCACCTAAAGCTTCCCTCTGCCTCCCTCTTCGCAGTCCCTCACCCCTACCCCAACCCACATTCTTGCGAAGCTTTTAAGAAAATTTTGAATAAAAAAGGGCCCGGCGGTTTAATGGTTAAAGATGACGTCATTCTCAGGGGCTTTAGGGAAGCTCCGATCCACTCTGTTTAGAAATGTGCGTCTTATTACCTAGTATCAGAGTCTGTTTAGTAATAGGAATCCTCTCAAAGTTGTGCCAGAGGCCTGGTGAAGGGTGCGGAGAGTATGACATTGACACAGGCTACCTACCTTTCACACCGCAAATTATCAATATTAGGAAAGAAAAAAAAAATCATTCACCTAGAAGAATGTCGGATACACAGTAAGTGTTCAACAAAAGTTTATGAAATCAGGACTTTCCAAACTTTAACAACTAACAAGTGGTAGAAAAGGTAAACCACTAGTAGCCTAATTTCATGTCTTTTAAGCTTTTTTTTTTAAACAAAATTCATTTTAAAACACATGCCTTAATATGTAATTGAAACTGAAATTTCTTCTCTTACTACAGCAATGTACTTCCCTCACTAATTTCATGAACTGATTAATGACTGCAACCCTCAGTTCAGAATTTGAATTAATCCCTATCAAGTGTGGGTTACATTTCTTGCAGAGAACTTTCTAATAGCCTGTCATTTTCCATTGGTAAAGGACTTTCCTGTTTCATGCAATATCAAATCCTGAAAACTGCTTTAAATCTTTCCAGGGATAAGAAGCATGTTATTTATAATTTCATATTGAATTTGTTATTTATTACTTATGGAATTTATTATTGAATAAACCCATGTTTATAAACTCATATTGACCATGTAATATCTAAAGGACCCAAAAAATACCACACAAAGAACCCAAGGAGAGTCACCACTGGGAAAAGTCAAATTCTGGGACACACTGGTACTCCTCAAATTACACCCTAAGTAACCATCCCAGAGCCATAAGTTCAATGGATGCGAGGTATAGAAGGTCCAGAAAACCGTTTTGGTTCTTGCCATGAGTGGAGAAGAATGAAGCAATTGAAGAATAGTAAAATAAAAGGCAATTTTTCTTGACGTAATTGATCTAGTTCTTTTTTTCCCCCATTTTATTGAGAAATTGACACACATCACTGTAGAAGTTTAAGGCATACAATAAGATGGTTTGATTTACATATTGTGAAATGATTATAATAATAGGATCAGCTAACATCCATCATGTCGTATAGAAATATATGAATAAAATAAAATGAAAATAAAGAAAAAGGAAAAGGGGGGGAATTTTTCTTGTGATGAGAAGGATTTACTCTCTTAACTCCTATATATCCTATAACAGTGTTAGCTATGGTCATCATGTTGTATGTTATGTCTCTAATATTTATTTATTTATTTATTTTTATTTTTTTTTTTTTAAATTTTTTTTTTCCAACGTTTATTAATTTTTGGGACAGAGAGAGACAGAGCATGAACGGGGGAGGAGCAGAGAGAGAGGGAGACACAGAATCGGAAACAGGCTCCAGGCTCCGAGCCATCAGCCCAGAGCCCGACGCGGGGCTCGAACTCACGGACCGCGAGATCGTGACCTGGCTGAAGTCGGACGCCCAACCGACAGCGCCACCCAGGCGCCCCTCTAATATTTATTTATCTCATCACTGGAAGTTTGTACTTTTGACCACCTTCCTCTAATCCCCTCTCCTCTGACCCTCTGCTTCTGGTAACCACAAGTCTGATCTAGTTTTCTGAGGTTTTTTTGTTTTTTTTTTTGTTTTTTCTCTAATTCCCCTTATAAGTGAGATCATATAGGGGCGTCTGGGTGGCTCAATCAGTTGAGTGATCGACTTCGGCTCAGGTCATGATCTCGAGGTCTGTGAATTTGAGCCCCGTGTCAGGCTCTAAGCTAACAGCTCAGAGCCTGGAGCCTGCTTCGGATTCTGTGCGTCTCTCTCTCTCTGGTGCTCCCCCACTCGTGCTCTGTCCCTCTCTCTCTTTTTCAGAAAATAAATAAACATTAAAAAATTTTTTAAAAAGATAAGTGAGATCATATAGTATTTGTCTTTCTCTGCCTTATTTCATGTAGCATAATGTCCTCAAGGTCCATCCATGTTGTCACAAATGGTAGGGTTTCCTTTTTTTTAATATCTGAATAATATTCCATTGTATATAGATGTACAACTATATTGTTGTACATATTATTATGTTAACTGAAAGAATAAGGACATTAAAATAAAGACAACTTCTTTGTCCATTCATCCATCCATTCACACTTAGGTCATTTCCATGTGTTGGCTACTGTAAATAATGTTGCCATGAGCACCAGGGTGCAGATACCTTTTCCAGTTAGTGTTTTCATTTTCTCTGGATATATTTCCAAAGGTGGCATTGCTGGATCATATAACAGTCCTATCTTTAATTTTTTGGAAGATCCTCTGTACTCTTTCCATAGTTGCTATACCAATTTATCATCCACCAACAGCGCACAAGGGTTCCCTTTTCTCCACATCTATGCCTTGTCTTTTTGATGATAGTCATTCTAATAAGTAGGGGATGATATGTCATTGTGATTTTAATTTGCATTTCCCGGGGCGCCTGGGTGGCGCAGTCGGTTAAGCGTCCGACTTCAGCCAGGTCACGATCTCGCGGTCCGTGAGTTCGAGCCCCGCGTCAGGCTCTGGGCTGATGGCTCAGAGCCTGGAGCCTGTTTCTGATTCTGTGTCTCCCTCTCTCTCTGCCCCTCCCCCGTTCATGCTCTGTCTCTCTCTGTCCCAAAAATAAATAAACGTTGGAAAGAAAAAAAATTTAATTTGCATTTCCCCAAAAACTAGTGATGTTGAGCATCTTTGCATATACCTGTGATCTTTCATATATCTTCTTTGGAGAAAGGTCTTTTTAGGACCTTTGCCTATTTTTTAATTGTTTAGGTTTTCTGTTTGTTTTGTTTTTGCTTTTGGTTTTGCTATTGAGTTGTATGGGTTCTTTATATATATTGGATATTAACCACTTATTGGATATATGTTTTGCAAACATTTGTTCTGATTCCATAGGTTGTCTTTTCACCTTGTTGATGGTCAAAGACCATTTTTTTTTTTTTTTTTACAGATCAGCTACTTCTAGGGGGGAAAAAACAAACAAAAATAATGGACCCAGCTCTTGCTATGTACCTACTACTTGTCAGCCACTGTCCTTGGTACTTCATATTCAAAATCTCACTTAATTCACTCCATAGTTCTCCAAGTGGATGTCAGTGCCCCTACTTTAAAGATAAAGAAGTTATCCCACCTTGCCTGAGAGGGTGGGAGAAATAGGCAGATGTTAGTTAAAGAGTATAAACTTCCACTTATATAATGAATAAGTTCTGGAGGTGTAATATATAGCACAATGATTATAGGTAACAATATTGTAATGTATACTTGAAAGTGTCTAAGAGAGTAGATCTTAAATGTTCTCACCACAAAAAGGATATGAGAGGGGTGCCTGGGTGGCTCAGTCAGTTAAGTGTCCAGGTCTTGATTTCAGTTCAGATCATGATCTCACAATAGTGAGACTGAGCCTTGTGTTCAGCTCTGTGTTGAGTGTGGAGCCTGCTTAAGATTCTCTCTCTCCTTCTGCCTTCCTCTTTCTCAAAAAAGAAAGAAAGAAAGAAAGAAAGAAAGAAAGAAAGAAAGAAAGAAAGAAAGAAAAAGAGAGAGAGAAATGGTAATCATGGTAATCAATGGTAATCATTTCACAATCCACAAGTATCAAATCAACATATTTAATACCAAATGAACATAATGAACACTTTAAGCTTATATAATGTTCTATGTCAATTATATCTCAATAAATCTGGAAAAATATTATGTTAACTGAAAGAATAAGAACATTAAAATAAAGATAGAAAAATCAAAAAGCAGAATAGCAAAACAGGATTTGAGATGGCAAAACAGGATTTGCTTCCAGTTCTAACAACCCATAACCAGACCCGTTTGTGAAATCCTTCTGTAAAACGACAGAATGCCATACAAGTGTTGATTATTACATTGATCACTATAATCTCGTATGAGCTCTGCAGAAGGGGCCCAGGTTCTGACTGGGTGTGTCGCCTTACAGGGAAACAATACTGCAAGCTACCCTCAGGGGACAGAGCTATTACTCTGTCATGCAGGAACTCTCATTAATGCAATTCTTTTCAATATCATTTCCCCTAGGCCAGATTGTTTAGTGAAGTAGTTACTGTCTTTACCAAGATAGGAAAGTCTGTCCTTGAAAGTAATGAGGAATTCTGTTGCTATATCAGCATTCCAAAAATCATAGTAAAAGAAAGAAAGGAAGGAAGAAAGAAAGAAAGAAAGAAAGAAAGAAAGAAAGAAA